TCATGTAAATGTACGTGCTCCGCTGGAAGTGGTTATACCAAGAATATGGCTGCTCCTTGTACCGTTTTAAGGCCTGTTCACACCAATTGCAGTGCGTTCCGGCCGGAACGCACTGCATCGCATTGCGGCCAGCTCACTTTTTTGCTGGGCTGGAGGGGGCGTGGTGGGCCATTGAAGTGAATGACACTGTAGCCACGCCCTCTGCAGGCACATTGTCCCTGCAGTGCGTTCGGGTGCGGTGCGATCAAAATGCTGCAAGCACTATTTTGATCGCACCGCACCTGAATGCACTGCAGACACAATGTACCTTGCGATCCCGTGCGGGCGATCACATTGCAGCCAGAGGGCATGGCTACGGTGCCATTCACTTCAGTCGGACCGGAGCGCACTGCTTATGGTGTGAACTAACCCTAAGCCCTGCGTCCAGTAGACATGTGCGATTCGTTTCGGAAAAATTCGTTTTCAGGACGAAATTAGTTAGCGGTAGTCTGTACACATTTTCGTTTGTGGACGAATTTTCATTGCAGCAAAGTGACAAAAACATTTGTGAAAACGGAAATGAACATTCGTACCGAATACCGCTAACGAATTTCGTCCAAATCCCTAAAAACAAAATAACACAAAAATCCGAATCAAAACAAGCTGAAACGAAACAATTTTTTTCTCGGTGCACATGTCTAACTTACCCTCTAATGTCCCCTCCCCCCACACAGTCACATCAGTCTCTGTACAGAGGAGCTTACACTCTAATGCCCCCCTCCCCACAGTCACATCAGTCTCTGTACAGAGAAGCTTCTCTGTACAGCATTGCGGTATATATGTATAATAATAACAACAGTGACTGGCCCAGCATGGCGGGGGGGGGTGAGGTGGTTGTTGCGACCGGGCGGTGCGGGGGCCTAAAGCCGTGTAAGGGGCCCCAAAATTTCTGAAGGCTGCCCTGCCCATGGTACAGAGGCTACAGGCATGACAGAGTTAAAACAATAAATGCTGTATTATTATTTATAAACCTTAAAAGTCTTGCATTGCTCCTTACATTCTATAGGGTTTACATAGGTTTTAAAAGGAAACACATTACGGGAATTAATTTATCAGAACTGGTGCAGACACAATCGGAAGCAGTTGAACATAGTAACCAATCAGCTTCTCTTTCCAGTTTGTTCAGTTAAGCTTTGAAAATGAAAGATTGAAGCTCCAGATGATGTTTGCTCCAGTTTTGATAAATTACCCCAGTGTATTTTCAGTGAGCTCCTAATTTAGGTTATTTTTGCAGTTTACCATAAAGTAATTGTTTACATTGTAAATGTCCATTATTTCATACTTTGTATTGTATTAGGGTATATGTATAGTCACAACAATTTATTTAAATTTGAATAAACTATGGAAGGAAAAGATCCCCTGACATTTTTTTGATGTATGTGTCCTTCCTCTGTTCATTTACCCTCTCCATTTATCCTGGTGATCAATCTCAGGTGATGGTAAATACAAAATGTAACAGTTATCACCACAAAAGGAATAGAGGGTACACCTTCTAATGGGGACCCCTGTTCCAGTAACAGCTCTCTGTCGACTTAAAGACTATATGGTTCTTTTAGAAGATATTGCAATAAAAATGTTCAACACATTAAGGTCCTGGTCAGCAAAGCACAGCAAGAGGCAATACATTTTTTTGAAGAAAGTAATCCAAAGTAACCAGTTGTTAGTTATATATTAATCAGTGGAAGATTAATTCTTATTGATTTTGCAATGTAAAAATCTGCACTTATTAGAATAAAATAAATCTTCAATTAAATTTGCTAAAAAAACTTTTAAAAAAATTGATTTGAAAAATATTGTTTTTTGTTCTGAATAAAAATACTGTTTTTCTTTATGTTTAATGGCCAGGACACAAACATTTTCAAAATATCTTTTCTTTTTTTTTAGGCAGGTAAATATAAAGTATAACATATTAATATTTTGCATCCTTCTTTAGCAAGTTTTCACATTTATAATTGTCACTATGCTTTTACAGTGCAGAAAGAAGCCCATTGTTTACACAACTCAGTGGGGTTGATTTACGAAAGGCAAATAGGCTAGTCACTTTGCAAGGGAATTTTCACTTTACAAGGTAATTTTCCCTTCACACAAAAAAATACCCAATAACGTGCAAGTTTAAATTATTTTTTTATTTTAGGAAACTACTGCACACTACCTTAAATGTGTAGTTCTTCAGAAACATCCCATTTAGATTCCTACATCCTTTTTTTTTTAAAGTGTTTTAAACAGCATTTCTGAAACAAATGAAGTGTTCACATACCTTATTGATTCAAAGTTTACATTTGATATATCTTTCCTTATGTGCAGTTGTATCTACTTGATGCATACTCACCCTCACCTATATCATATATTCACACATGTGCTTAGGGAATACAAAATAAAATAAAATAAACTTGATTAAACATATTTTTTAATGGCCAGACAGTCAGTATACATAGTTGAAGACTGTTTAGAATGAATTGTAAACAGTTGGGTGCATTCAGTAGCTGCCTGTTTATAATGCACTACAGAAACATTTAAAAAATCATAGATAGTTATAAAACATTTTTCTGCTCTTGCCTTTAAGACACATCTAGGCCTGTTCTTTATTTATGACAAAATATTAGCTTTTTTTGCTACATAGAAGGCCAATTCCACTGCTGGTATTTACCCTGCACATGTGCCTCCTCCACCCAGTTTGCTTACCATACCCCTGAGAAAAAAACAGTACTTCTGGGTAGGGAGAACATGTGATTAGTACCCCAGCCTTCCACAATACAGTGCTTGGTGCCTGACCAGTCAATCAACAGCACCCAATCACTGTGCAAGCAGGAGGAGGGTCCTCAACCTTCACCTTCAGCCAATCACTGCACCTGAACACTTCATGTGGGAGTAGGAGGAAGGTCCTTTGCCCTATGCAAGCTCTAGCTGAGATCCAACCCAACATTTACACAGGGATTATTGGAAAGGTGAACTTAGTGGGCAGTAGGGGTAATGAAAGGGTAAGCAAAAGTACCAGCAGTGGAGAAGGTCTGTTAAACAGGGAATCAGTTAGTTTACCTTCAATATACCAAGGCCACTACTTACTTATTCATTTCTTGGTGACATGTTGTACAAAAATTCTACTAGATACTAGTTACAGTTGTTTTTATACACAACGTCCTATGTGCTAGATACATATTAACTTTACATACATTTAATAGGATATAAATAACTATTTTATAAAATATATATGGAATGGCAAGCTACAGTATTTTTCTTCTACAGTAGAAATAAAAACTATAGCTACACAAAAAAGTATTTAATAAAACACTTAAAACACACCCATGTGTGTTCATAGCAGTAAGAGGGATACAACTTGTAGATTTGATTAGATGATTGGCTAATGGGTTAATGGCCTATGTACATTATTTACATCATTTTAATAAAATGTTTTTTTTGTAAAACAGATGTAATTATTTTATCTGATAAATATGGAAACGTAAATTCGGAACATTATCAGATCATATGATATTTAGAACCAAGTCAACATAACTCAAGGTGGGGAAATTTATCAAAACGGGAGTATACAGAATCTGGAGCAGTTGCACATGGAAACCAATCAACATCTCTCTTCAGTTTGTTTAGTTAAGATTTGAAAATGAAAGCGAGAAACTGAATTTATGGGCAACTGTTCCAAATTCTGCCTGCTCCAGTTTTGATAAATTCCCCTCTATGTGTTTTTTTTTCCAACACACAGATGATTTTCAGTAAAATAAATCTACACACTGCCTTCTTTTGCTTCAGTTGGCTAGTAACAGGTATTGTAACAAGTGTTATTTACGCCAGTTTCAGTATGGGTATATAAAAAATACAATTTTTTTTATTTTTAGGTGTAAAGTTTCTTCAAAGGAAATCTGTTATATGAGTAATATGGAGGTTGCTACTGTTGCTCTCTTTTAATCTAAACACGCTAGTTGCCTGACTCAGAACAAATATGTAGAAGTCAGGTGTTCTGACTTTTCTCTCATGTTAATAATCTGCATATTTGTTCTGAGTCAATTACTGCAATGGCACAAAGTTTTGAAGCCAGAAAGTCAGCATAACAGCCAAGCAAATTAAAGAAAAGAATGCAATCTTTTGTGCTGAGAAAATTATATATACCTAACCTCAGCTGCCAGCACATACTGTGATTATCTCACTTTCAAATACATTCAGTTTACTGCACAGCCAGGCAGCTGGTATTTTGAGGAAAAGAAATCAGCAATGGCAGCTCTCTTATTCTTGTTATGGCAAGTATCTGTAAAGTGCATGTAAAGCCACTTTTTAGCTTTAGATAGATGAGGGGATGGTTAAAGCCCATCAAGTTATTTTTTGCTGCCTGGGTCCCACTGGGGAGAATTACTTTCACTTCCTGTCCCCATTGAAGGACTTTCTCTTTTTTCTTGATCCGGTGACAACTCAAAACATTAGATTTCCCCACAATTTCTTTCTCTGTTACACTAATCACCAGGAAAAATAGAGGTATAAATCTCCCCAGTGTGGACATAGACAGCAATAAAAAGCTGACAGAAGTTCTAACCATTCCTTACTCTAGCAAATCTAAATAAAATGTTGCATTTACATGCATTTTAATGTAATCATATTTTAGATTAAATTGTCATGTAGTACACTTTGCTTTGCCTTTAAATCAAGACATTACAAAATTTGGACAACTATTAATCCAATGTGAATTAAAATAAATGCACAGAGAAATAGATTAACAAAGCGTCTCATGGCCTAAGGTTAAAGTATAACATTTTGAGTATTGTTAATATAAAATTACTTCCTATATGTATAATACCTAACAGTGACATTTTCATACCATATTATTGCATGTAAAATTGATTAATGGAATCCTTTATTGGAGGTGTCAAAGAGCCTTACATTATCAACACATTAGTCTTTTAATTAAAAATAAACATTAAATGTTCCATCTCCTTTTGAAATTATTTGACAAGCTAAAAAATATATTTAATTTTTATTATTGAAACGTCTCTACGCCATGTTTTTGTAAGTTTGTTATAGAGAATAATGACATATATAACATATGTTGCTGTTTATTGATAGCAAAGTAGGTACAAAGGTTTCCTTTTTGTAATATAACATTTCAATTTTTACTGATAACAATAATAAAAAAATAGGTCCTGTTTATAGGTGAAAATTGATATGGATCCACAATTGAAATTCTTTCATTGTACAGTGTCCTTCTTGAATTTTTTACAACACTTAAGTGCTTCTTCCAATGGGATTCCAGTGTACAATCTATGCTGCTGGTGTAGTCTTTGTCCACACGACTAATGCAGCATTTTGGTCTCTGATAGACTTTATATGTACATTTACAAGAGCAGTCCAGAAATTAGTTTTGATTTTCGTCATGGGTTTCTTTTCAAGGTGAGTGTATTCAGGGCTCGTCATCAGCAGGTGGAGGCTGGCATAACTTGTATAACCTATAAAAAAATGAAAAAATAAGTAAATGAGATCAGTATCAAACAGTGTGTGAATATTATTTACTATGGATATTGTGGACCGCTTATAATAAAGTAAACCTATAGTGTTTCAAATACCCTTATTACAGCAATAGTATCTGTGCTATAAGGAATAGGTAAAGAAAAATGACCAGTGTCAGTGCCAGATGAAGCTTGGGAATTGACAGCTGAGGCAGCCTGATCATCTACATTGGTAGAAAGCACACAAACAGTTCCTCATGCGGGTATTCAATTTCTCCTAATAACATACATATTAACTGTAACAGTGTGGGACCTTTATTTTTAAAGATGAACTTAGGCTGGCAGGACCAAGGGGTCTATTCACTGAGCTGCCGAAGGCAGCCGAGTGAATGACCGACCTGAAGCGAAGTGAACTGAACGCTGTTCGGCTATTCACTTTAGGCTGGTACGGCTGATTTCAGCAGTATATCGGCTGAAATCAGTCGTACATCGGGTGGCTCCGCGTAGCTTCGGGTCGGCCGAACATGCTGAAGGAAGTGCAGAAGGAGTTCGACTCAGCCGATCCAACATCTGGATCGGCTAAGCCGAACCTCCGGCAGGCTACTCGCTGCTGTTCAGGCTATTCTTCTAGACGTCGAACAGCAGTGAGTGAATAGCCGAATGCCGCTGAGCGGCATTCGGCTCGGCTGTTCTACTCTGTGGGACCGAGCAGTACAGAAAAATTGTTTAAAAAGTACAAAAAAATAAATAGAAAACGATTGTGCGGAGCTAGCAGTTACAGCTAGCTCCGACCAACTGTTTTCTATTGGCCGGCGGTTCTGCTGCCGTCAAAAAAAGAAAAATGAAAAAAATATTTTTTTGCCATAGGAATGCCTTGCTAGATTCCTATTGGCTATTTCAATTTCCAATAGTAAACCAGCTATAGCACCCGCCCTCTGTTGCTGTCAATCACTAGTAGGGACCTGATGGAGAACTGCAGCAGTGGGCGGGTGCAATAGCTAGTTTGCTATTGCAAATTGAAGTAGTAATCTAGCAAGGCATTCCTATGGTGATTTTTTTTTTTTTTTTTAATTCTGAGGCCAGCCAACGGCTCCGTGTCAAAAGAAAAAGCAGTGTTTCTCTCCTAGGCGGCCGGGAGCAGGAGACTCCCGGAGCGCCCGGAAGAGTTAGCCTGTCTGGAGATCAGTGTCCCTGGTTAGCTGGTAACCAGGGACGCTGATCTCTCTGCAAGTGGCCAGAGCAAGGCATAACATCACGGCTGGCTCCGCCCAGCTGTCAGAAGCAGACTGTCGGCCGGCCGTTTGGCCAGCTGCTGCTTTCACCTCTGCTCGGCATATGCCTTCAGCTCAACTGAGCCGCCCGGCCGACTTTTTTTTTATAGTTTTGGCTTGTGTTTTAAAACATTTGGGCTTATCCAGTTACAGCATACATGTTAACAAGTTTGAAGTAACTAATGGGAAATCCTCTTTATGGTGTGCTAAAGCCATAGTTACACCATTAGGCAGTTCATAGACATAAGAGAAAATTAACTTGATCCATCCGTTTTTTGATGATTTCATCTCTGCCATTAATGGCACATACTAGCTGAGATCTCTCAGAGGGTCAACATCATTGGGCCATTTGGAAAACCTGCCCCGATAATTCCTCTTTTAACCTAAGATAGGCCTGCACCACCCTCTTCCTCCCCAATCTAAACTTGCTTTATTGGCAGGGCTGACCTTGCACGTTTGTAGTGCTCTGGGGATTTGATACTCTAACAATGGCTGGATTGTGCCTGCAAATAAATCCGCCATGTAATGTCTATAAGATACCCTTATTTAAGAGGACAAAAACCTATGTGGTCTTTCCAAAAACAGACATGTGGTTGTCAGATATGGGCTGCCTACCCTTTGCTTATTCATAGCTTTTTTTTCCACTTAACCAAATCAGCCTATCAACAATCCAGCGTGCCTGGAGGGGACTGATATTAGTAACTAGAATTGCATATGTTACTTCTCTCTGTTCAGTCATCAGCTCTTTAAAGGAGAACTATGGGGTCAGTGTTTTTCCCCATAGTTCTCCTTAGGGTAACGGGAGGACACAAACTAGCGTCCTCCCGTTACCCTAAGCTCAGTATACCGCGAGCTACAGCTCGCGGTATACTGAGACGCCGCAGCCAGAGCGGATCCCGACTTAGACGTCGGGATCCGCCCAGCTACGTTAGTTACAGCTGGCTCTCCCTATCTAGAGGCAGAGCCAGCTGTACCCGCCCCCTCCCCCGGTATGTGTTCGCTTACCTCCCGATCTACTGAGCCGACCGGTCGGCTAGAACTTTGAGGTGAGTGAAAAGCACTCACCTCATAGTTCTCCTTTAAAGTGGCAAAATAAAACAAAAATGCAGTACTTCTTTCCAATACATAAGCATTTCCTTATGTTTTGTCTCTTTAAAAATGCTGCAAGTATAGTACATGTTATTCCAGCAAGAAATCCAGTAAGTGCCTAACTTTCTCTCAGTTACTTCTTTGTTGCACTGAAATGTCAACCAGTGCTATTAGCCCTGCATGAGTCACTTCTATGGACTACAGAACATCTCTCCCTCTATGTTATGGCATTAAGAAGTTGGACAGTGGTTCTGTAGTCCAAAACAGAAGCACGCAGCCTAGGGTGACAATGCAAAATTCATGGATACAGTACACCAAGTGACACCCTAAGACAGAACTTGTGTTGCTGGCAGGATCACCAGGTAAAAATTATGAAAAAGAAAGCCTTAAAAAAGAGAACTATTGCATCCACCACATCTAAGGACTAGTAAACAGCAATATATTAAAATTTGTTCTTGGGTTTAAATACATTTTAAGTTCAAATGATTAAATGAAATCAAACATAGAATAAAACACAGGCATTAAAAATTATTCTAAAAATACTAAGTCACTCACATACCTTAGCTAGAAACTATTTTATGAATTTTGTTTACTTGCTATGTGTTATTTATCTTCTCTCCATAAGCACAGTATCTAAAAGGTCTAATATATTGTACTTTATAAATGTTTTATAGGAAACTTTTTACATTTACTGAAATGTGAAATTTCAACTGTTCTTTAGTATACTGCGCCATCTACTCTACTGCAACTCTAAGCTACCGCTGAAGTGAATCAATCAGTGTTCTCTAGATGCCCGCACAGATGGCGAGAAATAAAAAGAAAACCATCAAAAGACTGTCTTGTCGACCACATGAAGGTGAAACATGAGTGCTGGGTATTCACTGATGATATTTCAGTTCCAGCTATTTTTATTGCGCAGATTAATTTCTAGCTCTCTGATAAATACTACTTTCTGCTTCCAGTTCTCTAATGATGGGCTGTGTTATGAAAATGTCTGCCATCCTGTGGTTATTTAATAAGAAAACCCACTAAACAGTGTTTCTCACACACAGGTGTTGTTAGTGCCCAAAGTGTACTTCTCCCAGATCCAGAATCTAACAGGCATAAAGCTAGGCATACAGACATCACTCCTGTGAATCAGCTGGAAGCCTTCTTCCACACCAGTTACACCTATACATGCACGTCTTTGATCCGAGTTGAATATATCTACAATAATAATAATTTATAATTTTATCAATGTTGTAGCTGTTTTTAATGCCATATAAGGGCAAATTAATGGGTTTTCTGGTGCTTTGCTCTGGTACTCTAACTATAGCCAACCAGCTGCTTATATTGACCTTCATTTCGCTCCCCTATCTGCTCTATTCAGCTGTGGGGGTGAAGAGATTAAGCTCTGTGCACTGCAGATTGAGGTTTGGGGTTTACACAGGGCTGAGGTCTCGCTCTTAATCCCCATGTGACATCACTGGCAGTCTAAATCACCAATCACAATGTTTCACATGGAAGGAAAGGCAAGGGGGTCATATTATCCCCACAACTGGAAGTTCTGGGTTTTGTACATTATTTCTCGTGGCCAAACAGTAATGTGGAGGAGTGGAGGATAGGTAAGTATAAGCAACCTGTTGCTGTGACCTATAAGAGGATAATTTCCCCTTGTAAACTACACCAAGTTTTATTGTTGATACCATTCACTGAGCACTCCATCCACTTCAAAAACAAGATGAGATCTCCAAAACCAAATACCACTGTATCGCATTGAACTGCAAAGTAGCTGCTTAGTATTTTTGTTGGATTTTCTGTCATTTTCATTTTTCTGGCCTGCTAGCTAAATCCCTATAAATATCAACTTATGTTCCGAAAAGCACTGCATCTCTGAGCTTGTGCAAAATCAGGCTAGTGTGTTCCCTGGTTCTAGCACCATGATCTATGAACCCACTGAAACATCAGCAACATAGAATGAAACAAAAGAGGCAGGTTACACACATACTGTATGTGTGAACTAACCTGCAAGAAAACCTGTACAGGTAGCCCTCAATTTACAATGGGGTTAAGTTCTTGAGGGAGTGGTTGTAAATAGAAATAGAAAGTGGTGGTAAATTGAAAGCCAGTATATAATGTAAGTCAAAGGGAAGCGAGGGAATTATGTTCCAGACCTTTCTCAAAATTGTAATAAAATACAGGTACATTATATTTAAAGGTGCTGCATGAGCTCACACAAGGAGATTTAAATACAATGTACCTATATTACATTACTTACGTCAATTTATGTCAATGAGAGAGGCTTGGAACCTAACTTCCTCACTTTCCACTGACTTACATTATTTACTGGGTTTCAGTTTACACCAGTTTCTATTTAGACCCATTCCTTGTTTTGAGAGAGGGCTGGAACCTAACACCCTCACTTCCCAGTGACATACATTATTTATTTGGTTTCAATTTACAACACTCCCAGAAAATGGTGCTATTTTGAATCAGTGCAAATTGAACCGTAAACCAAGGGCTACTTGTAATTCTTTTCAGCCACATGGTGACCCCACTTTTGTCCACTGCAGTTAAGCATAACAGCTTGGACACAAACAATCTCCAGCCTGCTGCCTTGACGAGAAGGGGCACACTGATAAGGTCATTCTTCCCCTCTTCCTTCTTGTAAGTTTTCTCCTGAAAGGGATACTAACAGTACAATAAATTGCAGCCTGATTGGTTCATACTTCTACCTCACTCAATGTAACTCTTATTGTCTTCTTTACCAGAATCCAGTAACATCATTATTAATGGTTTTAATAAATATATAACGGGATAACATTGTGTTTTTATATGTGCTGGAGTCCAGCTTTAAAGGAGAACTATGAGGTGAGTGCTTTTCACTCACCTCATAGTTCTAGCCGACCTGTGACAATGAGACTGTCACAGGTCGGCTCAGTAGATCGGGAAGTGAGCGAACACATACAGGCGTTCGCTCACTTCTCAAACCTGTCACGGCCCTCTGCCGTGACAGGGGGAAGGGCTGGATTCCCCGCTCCAATCCTCCAGCGCTAACTGGCGGAACGGACGGGGCGGGTACAGCTGGCTCTGCCTCTAGATAGGCAGAGCCAGCTGTCACTCACGCAGCTGGGAGGATCCAGACATAATTGTTGGGATACGCTTCAGCTGCGGTGTCTCAGTATACCGCGAGCTGTAGCTCGCGGTATACTGAGCTTAGGGTGACGGGAGGACGCTAGTTTGTGTCGTCCCGTTACCCTAAGGAGAACTATGGGGAAAAGCCCTAACCCCATAGTTCTCCTTTAAGGTAAACTGAGTTGACATTCTGACATTTTAATTTGGAATTGCTAATTAAAATGTTACTACGTTGTATCAGATTCACATGTACTACTATTCTGGTCCTGACGAGTCTCTTTAGAATTTATTGAGTGGTTGAAATGTATCTGCTAATCTCATAAAGTCGATTTATTAAACAATGAATACTTTTAGGCATTCTGATAAAAAAATAAACAATAAAAGCTGGCATCAGAAAGATACTGCCACAAGTGACTAAATACTTGTTTTCACCTATTTTTCATCTACTTTTGCATCTCACTGCTACTGATCATCTGTAGCCTCTTTGTAGCGACTTCATGCACTCCCTTTATGGCTGAATGCTATTTCTTAGGGCCTGTTCACACCATATGCAGTGCGTTCCGGCCAGTGCGTTCCGGCCGGAACGCACTGCATCGCATTGCGGCCGGCTCACTTTTTTGCTGGGCAGGAGGAGGCGTGGCGGGCCATTGAAGTGAATGGAGCCGTAGTCGTAGTCATGCCGCAATGCGAACCCCTGCATGGGATCGCAGGGCACATTGTGCCTGCGGTCCGGTGCAGTCAAAATGCTGCAAGCACTATTTTGACCTCACCGGACCGCAGGCACAATGTGCCCTGCGATCCCGTGCGGGCCATCACATTGCGACCGGAGGGCGTGGCTACGGCACCATTCACTTAAATGGCTAGCCACGCCCCCTCCGGCCATACAAAATATTGAGCCGGCCGCAATGTGATGCAGTGTGTTCCGGCCGGAATGTGGCTGGAACGCACTGCATATGGTGTGAACAGGCCCTTAGGGTGGGTTTCCTAATGGTAACAACAGTGGACCATGCCAGCATAATGTGTGGTGAACTGGCCACTTGTTCTTTTTAATGGAAGCTCGTATGACAGGATGACAATGAAAGAGCACAATTGTGTGACTGGGACAGGGCATTGTCACTCTATATCAATAATCCCCTAAACGAGGATCTTAATGGCAGATATCATTTTAAGGAAAAATGCAGATTTAAAACAATTAAAAATGACTTTTCAAATTACTTTACCAAGTTAAAGCTTATAGGAGATTTTAGTAATTGGGTTTACATAAAATTTAACAATAATGGTAAAAAGAAGTAAAATCCTAGAATATCTTTTGCAGGGATACAGTTTTTTTTATGGAATTATATTTAGTTGCTATGTGTTTCTTAAAGTTTTACTCTCAGTGAGAAGATAACTTGGATCTGTAAACCTTGAAAGATACAAGTGATGGAGAGCATTCTGGGCAGAAAACACAAGTCTCTAGGCAAAGCTCTAGTAATAAAAGTAAGAGTATATTCAATACATAATTCTCTTTGCCGGTCAAACTTCTGCTTCATTACAGCGAGGGCCCTGCTGATTTCTCCTGTTTTATTACTTTGTTGGTTTACTATTTTTGTAAATAATCATATAAAATGCCATAACACTGCTCCTTCTCTAATCACTGTAATACACAAAAGAGCATGGCCATAGATCTTGCTGCCTGATTTCAAAAGAGTTATGTGATACTGCATATACATGTATGCCCCACTCTGTTTGTATTAACGTATTTAATGAAAAGCCGGCTGGCAATACAATCAGACTGTTAATGCTTTGCAAGCAGGCTTCTCTGCCCCTCGTTTGTTTTGCTATGCAATAGTAAAACATGCAAAGCTTGGCTAAATACAGATTAAAGGACACCTATTGCATAATTGATGCTATGTATTAAATGTCCCTTTTGTGCTGACATATAACACAGTGCTTTACAAAGTACATGGAACCATTCACATATGTCAATATGCTGTTATCATGTAGCGACCTCAGTCATGTCCAGCTTTATTTTTTTTATCTTTTCCTATGGTCTGTTGATATTCTCTAAAATAGTACCTTATACCAGTCTACTGTTGCCTGTGACAGCATTCGGGCTCCTAAACACAAGCCATGTGGGGATGTTGGATTTAGGCTCCCTCCTGTAATTTATCATAATAGGTTACTAACATAAGTGCACCCATTTATTGAATGGCATAGAATTTAGGGCTGCAACAACTAATCGACATAATCGAATATAATCGATTATTGAAAAAGTTGTCAACTTTTTAAATCATTATTTGTTGTATTCCTATATAGCTGGTGGTATTCTGCATTGTGCTGTATAGAGGACTAACTACAAATCAAGGAATAATACATTATACAGTGCAATGCCGAATACCACCAGCTATAGAGGAGTACAACAAATCCCAGCAATAGTACATTATACAGTGGTATAATGCCGAATACCACCAGCTATAGTGGACTACAACACCCAGCAATAGTATATTATACAGCGCAATGCAGAATACCACCAGCTATAGAGGACTATAACACCCAGCAATAGTACTTTATACAGCGCAATGCAGAATACCGCCAGCCGTAATGTACTATTGCTGGGATTTGTTGTATTCCTCTATAGCTGGTGGTATTCTAAATTGTGCTGTATAATGTACTTTTGCTGGGTTTTGTAGTACTCTACAGCCGGTGCCATTCGGCATTCATTGCTGTATAATTTTAGACTTTTCATTTCACTATATTGCACACCACGCTTTTTTCTTTTCTTTTCTTCTTTACCTCCATCGCTCCAAGCTTGCTCCTGTGATGGACTGCAATCTCAATACAAATAACAAACTAGTAGTCCCATCACTGGAGCCATTTAAAAAAATGTATTTTATGTTTATCCGATTAATCGATTAATCAAACTTAATAATCGGCTAACTAATCGATTTTGAAAATAATCGTTAGCTGCAGCTCTAATAGAATTCAGAAGTCACAATGGTAGTGGAGCGGAGTACAAAATGGGGAAGTCTAATCCTTCAGAGATACACTTACCACATAACGATGGGAAACTTTATAAACCATTAGGGCTGCACTGTTTACTTAAAGAGGAACTCTAGGAATTGTAAAAAATTAACCCTTGCAATGGAGCTACCTCCACACTGCAAGGGCTACTTGCTCATTTCTAGGGGCTGGAAAAAGAAGATATTCTCACCCAATCCTAGGTCTGCGGTCCTTTGCCAAGGCATTTCTAGGACATGAAACTCCACTCACTTCCTGCACATTACTTTCTGGGCCATCCCCATGCTCACGATGTACACACTGAACTCTGATTTTTTGTGTTTTGCCTTTCATACAACAGTGGGATTAATTTTTTGCTTAACCCATTGTTCCAGGTACATTGGTGGGGGAATGGTCATGTGGCCTCACTGGTGCCAACCTTAAGGTCCTGTTCACACCAGGTGCGTTGGGCTGAGCTGGGCAACCTTTCCCAGCACAGGCCCGATGCATAGAAAAGGCATTTTGTTTGGTTTACGAGATTAGCTTGCACTACTGCACTGTGGTGGTGTGCACTAAGAAAAAGTACAGCATGCCGTACTTTTTTCACTACTGCGTGTTGTAATGCAGTACCCCACACTTAAAAGGCCAACTGCGGTGATTGGAACTAAATGCAATGTCACTTTGTGACATTTCAGTAAATTCTGACAAAGTTGCAGCTATTGCAGTGCAACAACAACACTCCCAAAACAGTGCACACCAGCGCTTGCATTCTAACACAGCTGCTGGGGTAAACGAGCCCTAAATGACTGTTATTATTCTTCCAGGAACACAAAGGCATCATGCTCTACACACATTAGGTACAACCAGATCAAGGTGGGTTAGACTGTGATTTGTTCAACAGGACTTCCCTGAGACCTGCAAGAAACCAGGAGCTGAATGAACTCACCAGGCATAACCCATAATAAAATAACACTTTGTGATAACTGTCCCTTTAATCAAAATTATCTGCTAAATCTTATTACCCCAAAATAATGTTATCACAGTCATAGGCCCTAATACAGTCAAATGGTTTGCTATGGTTATCTACCTTGCCTTGGGTTCGAAGAAAGGTGTCTGAGTTTCTGCTATATAAATCAATAAAAATCACTCTGTTTCCAAGGCAGAGGAAGAAAACCTAGCTGCTGCACGGCTGGAAGCAACAACTGATCAGAGTGCATCCAAGGGCAAGCACCTCTGCTATTAGCTTACGGTTTCTTACTCACCATTTGAAAGAAAATGTCCATGATCTAGATGACAGTTAAAGTTCTTTAAAAAAAATAGGTGGACTTTCTGTTTAAGGGTATAGAATAAAGTCTATACATATACAGTAAATATAGCCAGATTTTTTATTCTCAGTAGTAAAGTTGTAACATACCTTGGAAGAGATGTGGGAGTTCTGTCCCGGACACCCAGATTCTTGGCTGTATTCTGAACTCGTGCTCCCTGCAGCAGGAGAAAAAAACATTGGTACAGGTTATATTTGGCACACATTTCTATTCTTAAACTAGTATTAAACGCTCAAACTTTTTTAAATATATCCAGATTAAACAAATATGTATTGCTCAGCAAAGTAGTACTTTAAAATTTTGCTGAAGCACTTACATTTCAAATTCACAACAAAATGTCAAAACCGAAAAGAAACCGAAAATGATTAAAAAAAAAAGGCTGGCCGAAACGGAAAATGTTTTTGTTCTGATTTTGACAATTTTTAAAAAATATTATATTTTTTTATTTTTTATAAACTTTTTAATTTTTCATATTTTTTTTTAATTTTAATTTTTTTTAATTTTACTTTTAGGGGCTTTGGGGAAATATTAGGGGTCTAAACAAATTCCTGATATTTCCCTTTTAAAATAGAAAAAGAGATTGAGGACACAGAGTCAAATCTCTTTTTCCTGCAGCATCTGTTATAAATGAACAGGAATCCTCTACACTGAGTGTTCCTTTTCATTCATAACTTGAGGACAGAGAATGTTTATCTTGTCCACAATCATGAATGAACAGGAAGTGATATAGATCACTCCCATTCATTCATAATTGAGAGGACAGTAAACATTCTCTGTCCTCAATTATTTACAAACACTCAGTGATCACTGATCGCTGAGTGTCTGTACCCGCTCCCCATTCTGGATCGGTGGTGCAGGGAGCAGATCTCAATCTGACAGCTGACTCCTCTCCTGCACCTCCGGCCGGCCTCCTGTGACAGTTTGGAGAGCTGTCTCCACCCCTACTCTCCTGATCTGTCACAGGAGGCTGGGTGATGCAAAGAGGAGAGACGCCGGCCGCTCACAGCGCTCTCTTCCCGCACCGCTCGACCTCCTGTGACAGTTTCTCTCCTTCCCGCTGGGATACAAAGCAACGCCCAGCAGGAAGGAGAGGAAGCAGATGCACTGCTATTTCGGCCAAAAAATTGCACTTACGGCATTTTGAGGGGGGTTCTTTGGATAGGTTAGTAAGGAGTTAGAATGCCTGGAGATTCACCTTCTTTATTTGCATGATTACCACTGTATCAGGACAGAAAGTATGGGGAATTCCAAAATGTTGAGTTGTTACTGGAATAGTAATTGTGGGGAAGTCTTCCAGTAGGGACACTACTTGTTACAGCTAAGGGGGATCTCCTTTCCTTTAGAGAGATGTTCTCTTGCTTCATGTTGTGATTTTAGAGAGGAAGTGAAGAAAAATCTTTCCAATGGCACACAGAGAGAAAAATAAACTTAAAGGGGCTATACACATTCCTTACTCTATCCAAAACTAAAAAAAAAAAAATGTTTTGGCTTTATGAAGGGACTGACCTGTATAGACGCAGACTGTACCTACACATTTGTTTGTCCCCCAGTGTATATGGTCAGTCCCAGGATAAAAAATGGTGTCATTCTAAGTATGCAGATTGGCAAAGATCTATGAATCACATGAGTAGTTGATTCCACATTTTTGTCAGGTAAAACATTTGATGTGTAATTTAACAGTGTATTTACCTTTTAGAAAATGCAATTAAATGTTTGAAATGAATAGACAGATGCTAAAGCAGTACCTATGCTCTTCTACTAATTTATGGTTTACATAAGAATTTCACATATATTAAAAACATTTTTTTTGTGAAAGATGAAATTCTGTATTTAAGCATCTGTTTAAAAGCCAAGTCATGATTTCAAAAGACACTGTATCAACACAGAATTGGTGAAGGGCTGACGAAAAAATAATAAAAGTTATTCTATGAGCAAGATACTAACAATGATAATTATGTTGTAATTTGTGCTCACTCTACTGCATCACATCAAGGACTCTGTTTATGTCTTTTCCATGGATGTCATTAGTGACAGGGACATTAATGCTTATAATAACACATTGTTACAAATTGCTGTTACCCTTAATTAAATTTAAATCATAATAATTTAGCCCATAATGACTATATTTGTGTCTATAACCTATAACAATTTGCATGTAATTTAAAGGTACAGATCTTTCCATGCATGTCAATAATTCTATTATATTAATTCTGTATTATATTATGTTATTCCTTTTCGTAACCTTATCGGTTTTTATGAGGCAATGAAGACACAAAAGCTAACTTGCTAATTGACTGTGTTTCTATAGGTGTAATGAGGGAAAAAAGAAGTACTAGAATTAGACTTATGCAATTTCCATTGCTCCTCCTCTGCTCTGGCTCCTGGATACCATCTGTATTTTAGTTTGTATGTTTTCTGTGTTTTTTAAAATAAAAATGAACTGAAAGATTAAATTAAACCTCTCATTAGGAAACAGTGAGAAATCTGTAACCTAAATGTTTTGACATGTACCTCCAGATGACTAGAAAGCTCTCCAGATGTCCTTCAGATTACCCTCATACCCCAGAAACTATGGTGCTCTGCTATGAAAGAAGAGATCAGCATCCATGTGATGGGTCAATACTTAAGACACAGGAGAAAGGAAGACCAACGCCAACTACCATGAAAGGTGAGGATATTGGCATAGCAGGGTGCCCTAGTTTTCCAGGGTCCATAGTTATGGTGCAGAATATATTAGAATTGCCATTCAAGCACCAGGAGGTACAAATTGCTCATTGATTTCTAACCAAAAGTGTACTTTGTAGAGCATACCTGTAGCACTGGAGGAAACTATATGCTTCACAGGAGGGTAAAGTAAATAGTCACTGCCCATGTTGATTATTTTATTAGGTTTTTTTTTTATTTTGAAATATTTTAGGAATATTCAAACTTCTACCTCTTCTAGTGATTAAGCCATTGCTATGTGTACTAATTAAATCCTGGCCCAAATCATGAGAGCGTATCTAAACCTTAAAACATAAGTATAATATATATCCAAATAACCAGTCCTTTGATGAGGTGACTACATTAGATTTTATTTTCAGATTTTTTTCCATTTATTTTCACCTGGTAATCCTGAGAATAATGCACTTCCTGTCCTAGGGTGGCTATGCTCACAGTATCCATGGAAAAAAGCCATGGTTGCTACTCAGATAGGATGTCAAACATGTCTGGCATTGTTTTTGCTTCAGTTCAGCTCACAGGTAGTGACAAGGACACTGCATTTCTGACAAACTCAACAGGTATTTTCTGTACTTGCTAAAAATGTTCTTATCCTGAAAAATATAAATTAAAGCATCCACCACATCTAAGAACTGTGAAGCTGCAATTTTTGTTCTTTGGTTTAGTTATCCTTTAAGGCTGGATGCACACTCCTGTGGTGCATTATAACACTTGAAATTAATGCATGACAGAGCCAGCTGTCAATGAGGTAGTGGGGTGGATTCTGACAATATTGTTGGGATCCTTCTCAGCTGCAGCACGGCGCATTTGTGCAATAAAGATGCATTGGTGTAACATCCAGAATGAATGGCAGACAAGCAAGCTGCTACAAGTGATCTGGGTGGCTGTACAGATGCCCAGATCACTTGTACAAAAGGAGCGGCTGCTTCCCTGCTCTACATTTAGCCCTGTTTGCCCACTGCAGGGCTAAATGCGGAAAAAAAACCCCCACTTGCATGTCGCCCAGAACTGCATGTCCCGGGCGTTGGGCAATTGGAAACCAGCACCCCAGCATAATTAACCCTGTCAGTACTATGCTGGTATATTTAATTACACAGCAATACACAAACAAACTGTAGGAGCGCTACTACCCTGGGAATGCTGGTGTCTGATAGTATGTAAAAAAGGCAATGAACTCACAGTTGGAAGGCAGCTGATGTGTCTGAAAATCCCCTTGGTGTCTGAGTGCCAGGTCCCTGGAATGGAGCCTGGCTCAAAGGATAGATAGCTCCAGTGGTGGATGGTGGTGAGTCTGGAAGAAGTGTGGAGCAGTGGAGCAACACACGTACTCGGCTGGCCAGGCCGAGCCGCGGCGGCTTGGCGAGGGAGAGGAGCTGCGAACGGCTATGAGACGCCAGGCGCCGTGTGTCCACAGATTCTGTCTGGCTGATGTCTCAAGGGTGTCAAAAGTACTGCGGAAAAAATCCGAAATGGACCAGCTGTGCATGGGGTAAATGAATGACGGCTACGCGTTTCGACGCACAGCCTCTTTGTCAAGCCTCAATGCGATGGTGACCGCGGGAAGACGGAATGCGCCGTCATTCCATTGAGAGCCGTTACCCCATGCACAGCTCTACACCACTTCGGATTTTTCGCAGTACTTTTGACACCCTTGAGACATCAGCCCGACAGAATCTGTGGACACACGGTGCCTGGCGTGTCATAGCCGTTCGCGACTCCTCTCCCTCTCCAAGCCACCGCGGCTCGGCCTGGCCAGCCGAGTACATGTGCTGCTCCACTGCTCCACACTTCTTCCAGACTCACCACCATCCACCACTGGAGCTATCTATCCTTTGAGCCAGGCTCCATTCCAGGGACCTGGCACTCAGACGCCAGGGGATTTTCAGACACAGCTGCCTTCCAACTGTGAGTCCATTTCCTTTTTTACATGCTATTAGACACTAGCATTCCCAGGGTAGTAGTGGTCCTACAGTTTGTTTGTGTATTGCTGTGTATCGATCGACAGGGTTCCTCTCCCTGTTATAAGGAGTTTGCACACCGACCATCCCATTTCACATTCCCTCATCCCAGTGACCAGCAATCAGTTGTGCGCTCAACCATCTTTTTGGTATATTTAATTATCACTTATAAACTAGATGAGCAGGGCTGTCTGTCCTAACAAATAGTTAAAGACCTCAAGGCATTGGTTGTTAATGCACTTTTTCAAAAACGGTTCCTTAGTCTGTCCCATTATCTTTACACTGCCATCTATTCTAAGCACTAGAAGATGTCCGTAGTATGTGTATGTATAATCCTGTTCCAAACAAACAACTAGAAGGGTAAGAAATATTTTTTATATTGTAAATATTTAAAATTTGACTGCAAAAGTGGAAATGCAGTAAAGTGATTTACTTTCTCTGGCTTCTGTCATTGCAACTATGACCAGCAGGGGTCACTTCGCCCTGACCCCACTGATAAGCTTTTTTCTTTACAAGATAGCTATAGTGCTCTACACTTTGCTGGCACGATCATTTCCCTGCATTGCTAAGCTCTGACTGCTCCGATCGCTTGAAAATACTGGAGACCCCAAAAGAACAAATATAAAAAATAATAAAAAAGAAACATGAAATAAGACCAATGAATAAACGCAAAAAAAAAGAGCAAGCAACCCGTCAGAATTTTTATTTAATTTCCGTAATACAGGTTAAAGGAGAACTAGTCAGCGCTGGCGGATCGGAGCGGGGAGGGGGGAATCCAGCCCCTCCCGTGTCACGGCAGAGACCCGTGACAGGATCGAGAGGGGAGCGAACGCTGGTATGTGTTTGCTCACCTCCCGATCTACTGAGCCGACCTGGGACAGTCTCATTGTCACAGGTCGGCAAGAACTATGAGATGAGTGAAAAGCACTTACCTCATAGTTCTCCTTTAAAGGGAGTAAGTAAAAGCATTAAAGTAGATCCAAACCATAGATGGATGACATTTAGCTTTCTAAAGCGCTGTGTCTCTTAACAACACAGCGCTTTCCATCAAGAGTACAAGTAATAGGTTGAGCACAACTGGAAGACAAATGTCCCCACTAAACAGGAAGCGCCTGAACATGGAACTTATTTTTTTAATGAGTTTGCAGATTTAAAAACATTGTACATACTTTTGAAGCTTATAAAAGATTTGGGGAAATGGATTTAGATCTATTTTAATCAGCTGTTTCAAATTAAGCTGCTTATTTAAAGGAGTTGTCCCAGCATATACTATCCTGTTATAACATCAGCATTGTAATAGGAATACATACTAAAGTTGTTTTTGAAAATGCAATCAAAGCTTACTTGAGAAAAATCCCCTTTCAATAGTGAGTGCTGCCTTCAGTCTGTCCATCACTTTCAACAACCTCCTGAAGTGTGTTTCAGTGAGGTTTGCATCTCTTTTACGCTGCTTGAGCCCATCATGAATTGGTTCCAGCAAGCAATGATTATGATACATTGTGGCCACTGACATTGAGGCCACGTTCAGTCTGGATATTTGGTTAGAGTGGTGACACAAGGAAGTCCATATTCACAGGACTGAATTAAATTGTGTCAGTGCATTGAGGAAGTACATCCTGTGGGCAACTTCAGTAAGTAAATTTAAAAACTTCTAGATTGATTAACTTTTTAGGAGTGGGATAGAACGTATGGAAATTCAGTATAGAAATAAAGTACATATTTATTTTAAGTTTTTGATCATAGATATTGTTTAAAACCATAGTACAAAGCATCCTAACCCAGTCCAATGATGAGATTCCACTTTTATAGTCACTTTAATGCTATGGATAAAATCCACTCTCCTCCTTCACCGATTGATTAATCCGACTTGCTCTGTTGGATATTTCTGCCATTTGTTTTAAAGTGCTTGCCTGTAACACTTTGCCCATGATTTAGCATTTCATTTACAATATGAAATATTCATTGCAGAAAAATTGTATTCTCAGCTAACCATTGAAATCCAGCCTGCTAATATATAAACAAATTCAAAACTAAGCTAAAACCATTTCTGAAAGGACCAAAGCTCTATTGCTTTTTGAATAGATTTACTCAAGTGCGTTATGAACAAGGCCAAGACTATTGATTAAATCATCAGTGCTAACAGACATTGCCAAAAATTGCATTAGTGGTATATCCATTACAATAAGTGCTGATGTCAACAGGATGTCTTTTCCAGAGATTCTGAAGCTGTTTTCCACGATAAATCACTAAAATGTCAAATTAAATTGCAGAGAGGCAACTCTACCACTGGAATTGTGCTTAGGAAAATAGTTAATTGGATGCTAAATAATTATATGAAATATCAAAAATTTATCGTCTTAGACTGATCTGTAGCGGCAGTCGAAAACTGTAAAAACATATGGTAAGTAAAATATGTTGTTAAGGATATATACAAAATTATTTTCAATGTGTACTTATTCCTTGTAAAATATTGATAGGAAAACCATTCTTTTTAGGCTTATATGGTCATTTGCTTTATCAGTGTCACCCAAACTATGCCGCTACTTTACTGTGAAAAAAGACACCATTATTCAGAGCCTTAAATTATTTTCCACAGAGTTGCAAACCCCCATCTTAAAACATGTTTGAACTCTGTGTGCTGTACAGAATTACACATAATTCAGCCTAAAGAGACCCAGTCACTAGAACAAATGTGTAAAATAAAGTTTTCACTGCAAAATAAGCATTTCATACTCACCACTCCTACTACCCATACCATCCATCTTTGCTAAAGGCAAGAAAAACTAGGCTGAAGACTCTTCAGAATCCGACATTCCCAGGGATGATCCACGCGCCCTTTATTATTACTGTGCCTTCTAGTGAGATAGGAGCTGGTGGGATGAATACTGAGTGCAGTGGGGGACCAGGAGATCAACACTGCCAGAAGTATAGGACTCTGTAGATTCTTCAGTTGGCGATTTCTCTTGACAACAGCAAACAGTGGGATATTTTTAACAAGATGTAGCTCTTTTATTCATGTAATGTTCCGCAGCACGGATATTATGGCATGAATTGTAAACATAAACTTCAGGAAGGGAAAAGGTAATGGAGAGGTGGAATATCCTTTATCCCTTTGGTTGCAGTAAAGAGTGATGGAAATGCTTCAGCTGGCTGATGTGTTAGAATACCTCCATGAATATTCAAAACAGAAAGTAAGGAATCATCAAAGGCTCAATTAAAAAGCCTACATACCTGCTTTCTCATGACATCTGTAGCTTGCATGATGTAACGGGGTGGCAGTCCATGACTCCGGGCAAGAATTAGAGCCTGTTCAAGAGTGACACTCAAAGTGCATCTGCAAACAAACACAAGAAAAGCCCTTTGAATAGAGTTTAAACACATGCTACAGAGACACTACAGGCAGGTCCATCAGAAACACCTTTATCATTAGCTAAAGGTCCTGCTGGTAAGGTAGAGGAAGATAAAATCAAGGTCAGCTGTACATATCAAAACATGTATTAATCAAATAAGTGAATATACAAAGTTATAGAAGAGATACAGTATCGCCACATCAAACCATAATATTCCTGTTCATTTCTGGCTACACCCAACTAATTTTCAGCCTTTTTTATTTGGTACATTCCAAATATAATACCCGTAATTATTGCTACTATGGGGATAGTGGTGATTATATTGATATGCTTAAGGCAAGATTGCCATTCACTAAGGCTTGCCATAATGGTCTGGTAAAAGGAAGTGATGTTCCAAAGCTTCCAGCATGGCATGTAAAAATTGGTCCATATCTTATGACCTAGAGGGCACCAGAAGCTAAGTCAGAAGCTCTTGTTACAGCCCAAGGTGGTTTTCTAACTTGTTCTAAATCTCCTTGCGAGTGCCCCCTATTTCTTCCCCTGCCATGAAGTAAAAGGAATGAAAGTGAATTGCTTGTTCAGCTATCACTGACATGTGAAGATCATCCCTGGTCTCATTGTTCACTGGATATGTGTGAGGAGAGACCGATACCTCCTCACTTTTCATTCGCTTTGCGATATCTAACTGTTGATGGCCAGCCATAGACACAGTTTTACAGCAACATGAAAAACAAATAAATCAAACACTATGAATAAGACCCTGGCAAGTGGCATAATACTTTGAGGCCACGTTTTAACAATTTTAGGCCATGTGGTTGTTTCACAGTAGCATTATATTTATTATAGAGATGCAACATTGTTAATCAGACTTATATTTATCTCATAATGGCAAGAACATAGGCATAATACTTTTTTTCTATGAGGTCACTTCTTAATATCAGTAGGCCATGCAGCTATTTTACAATAGCCTAGTTCATGCTTTATATTAGAATGGAAACAAGACATTAAGATGTTGAGGAGATAAAATATTTTTATAATATGTTTTGAAATGCTTTAAAGGCATTTTCAACTGTTTGTTCTAATTAAATGCAACTGGTGTGTCTGTATTATTTACTTAGATTGAACATTTCTGTATAGTTTTTACATGTTGCGGAGATGAAGGAAAAACGCAACTTAACATCTACTGAAATCAATTAAATTAGGCTTTCCTGTGCTCCTGGGTTGCAAAACACTATGAGGGTTATTCACAAAGCTGCCGAAGGCAGCCGTGTGAATAACCGACCTGAAGTGAAGTGAGTCAAATGCTTTTCGGCTATTCACTTCAGGCTTGTACAGCTGATTTCAGCCGTATGTCGGCTTGCTTCCGCCGGGTGCAGAAGGAGTTCGACTCAGTCGATCGAACATCTGGATCGGATGAGCCGAACCTCCGGCAGGCTACTCGCTGCTGTTCGGCCTATTCTCATAGAGGCCGAACAGCAGTGAGTGAATAGCCAAATGCCGATGAGCGGCATTCGGCTCGGCTATTCTGCTTGGTACCTCCGTGGTACCGAGCAGAATAGAAAAACACAAGAGTGACACTCAAAGTGCATCTGCAAACAAACACAAGAAAAGCCCTTTGAATAGAGTTTAAACACATGCTACAGAGACACTACAGGCAGGTCCATCAGAAACACCTTTATCATTAGCTAAAGGTCCTGCTGGTAAGGTAGAGGAAGATAAAATCAAGGTCAGCTGTACATATCAAAACATGTATTAATCAAATAAGTGAATATACAAAGTTATAGAAGAGATACAGTATCGCCACATCAAACCATAATATTCCTGTTCATTTCTGGCTACACCCAACTAATTTTCAGCCTTTTTTATTTGGTACATTCCAAATATAATACCCGTAATTATTGCTACTATGGGGATAGTGGTGATTATATTGATATGCTTAAGGCAAGATTGCCATTCACTAAGGCTTGCCATAATGGTCTGGTAAAAGGAAGTGATGTTCCAAAGCTTCCAGCATGGCATGTAAAAATTGGTCCATATCTTATGACCTAGAGGGCACCAGAAGCTAAGTCAGAAGCTCTTGTTACAGCCCAAGGTGGTTTTCTAACTTGTTCTAAATCTCCTTGCGAGTGCCCCCTATTTCTTCCCCTGCCATGAAGTAAAAGGAATGAAAGTGAATTGCTTGTTCAGCTATCACTGACATGTGAAGATCATCCCTGGTCTCATTGTTCACTGGATATGTGTGAGGAGAGACCGATACCTCCTCACTTTTCATTCGCTTTGCGATATCTAACTGTTGATGGCCAGCCATAGACACAGTTTTACAGCAACATGAAAAACAAATAAATCAAACACTATGAATAAGACCCTGGCAAGTGGCATAATACTTTGAGGCCACGTTTTAACAATTTTAGGCCATGTGGTTGTTTCACAGTAGCATTATATTTATTATAGAGATGCAACATTGTTAATCAGACTTATATTTATCTCATAATGGCAAGAACATAGGCATAATACTTTTTTTCTATGAGGTCACTTCTTAATATCAGTAGGCCATGCAGCTATTTTACAATAGCCTAGTTCATGCTTTATATTAGAATGGAAACAAGACATTAAGATGTTGAGGAGATAAAATATTTTTATAATATGTTTTGAAATGCTTTAAAGGCATTTTCAACTGTTTGTTCTAATTAAATGCAACTGGTGTGTCTGTATTATTTACTTAGATTGAACATTTCTGTATAGTTTTTACATGTTGCGGAGATGAAGGAAAAACGCAACTTAACATCTACTGAAATCAATTAAATTAGGCTTTCCTGTGCTCCTGGGTTGCAAAACACTATGAGGGTTATTCACAAAGCTGCCGAAGGCAGCCGTGTGAATAACCGACCTGAAGTGAAGTGAGTCAAATGCTTTTCGGCTATTCACTTCAGGCTTGTACAGCTGATTTCAGCCGTATGTCGGCTTGCTTCCGCC